TCTGACTACCTCATGCTCACACTCACTGTCCCGGGATACAGGTGAGCTTCCGCCGGGTGGCATCGTTTTGTTTATGTTCCTCCGGGCGGCTTGTATGTGGGGAAAGTCAAATCTTTGTGTGTTTGACCTACTTGGCTACTAAATGTGATTCTGATCTTTGCAGGCTGCCAAAGTCTTTGGCCAAAGACGGCAAGTCGAGTGAACTGTCTCGCATCAGCTTCGTCTTTGAGACCTCGTGTTCGGCAGACTGCGTCTTCTTATTCATGGCGGTACGATGTCACAAACAGATGGTTAAAAAAACAATGGTGGCCGTTTTACGCAGCGACGTTTGGCTTGACAGGGTTTCAATCGGTGGAACAACAAGGCGGTGGAGCAGTGGAAGGGCACCCACGGGAAGCAGTCCTACTCGTACCTCATTCAGAGCAACGCCACCGTCAGCTTCACTTGGACTTTTCAGCGAACAGACAACTCCACAGCGGTCAGGATTTGATGAATCACTTTCTTGACCTCATAAGGCAGGGATTCAGAAACGGAGTCAAATGCAGTGGGGGGGGGTGGGGGGGGGGATGATCAAGGGATAGGAAATGACACGTACACGCAAGCTTGCCCATATGTGATGCTGGTTGCTAAGTGACAGAAAAGGAAGTAGCCTGATGCATTTTCGCACTGGTTTGGATGTCAAGTCAGCTGCGTTTCGGTCACATGGATTTGTGCTTGTTACAACAGAAACCCCTGCCCCCCCCCCCCCAAAAAAAATAAAAAAGTGGGGTCAATCTGGTTCTAATAGCAGGGCAGGATCTGCGAGTGTTTAAGCTTGTCCCAGAACTTGTGAAATGAATGGAATGAAACTGTGCCCCCCCCCACCCCTCTCAGGAGAAACGGTTCAGCACCGACGCGGCGAAGATCTTCTCCATTCACATCAGCAATGTTCTGGGGGGCGTGGCCTCCAAATGCCGACAGTGCGCCGTCACATCTCGCCCCGGCGACAACTCGGCCTGCGTGCCCTGCCCGCCGGGCCATCGCTTGGTCAGCGAGAAGGGAGCCGAGGGAACGTGCCGGCGCTGCCCGCCCAACTCCATCGTCGCCGCCGAGTGGCCGAGCGGCGAGCCGGCCTGCCTTGCGTGCGGCGTAAACACCAAGAACAACCAGGTTCGGGTTTTGCTTCTCCCCCGTTGTGAACATGACAGCGCCACCGCCAAGTGGTGCAACTTATTTTCCAAACTTGATGAACTGTACAGACAAGGAATCGCACCGCGCAACATCCATCCGCGCCATTTCTGTCGTGGTGAGGAGAATAGAAAATGGAAAAGGTGGCGATTGAGCTGGAGCCGAGTGGCGGGACACGCTCGACTCTCCACTGGCCAATCGCAGCGCACAGAGAGACACATTCATTTCCCTTTTAAACTCGGCAAAAGAAAAAAAAAAAGCGCCTCAACAAAATTTGACCCGATTGTGATCCTGCAAACATATCAGATCTATTTTTTGATCTTCCGTTCTTCCCCAGGCATACACGGCCTGCCTCAGTGATTGCACGGCCAAAGTGCAGACGACATCCGGCGCGTTCCTGCACTACGACTTCTCCCCTCTGTCGAACGTCACCTCCTTCCAAAGCGGGCCGCGCTTCACCAGCAAAGGCCTGCGCTACTACCATCACTTTAGCGTGGCCCTGTGCGGCAAAGAGGTGAGGCGCCGCACCCGTGCGCTTCCTGGGTGTGCCCTCGGTGCCCTTTTGGCCGTTCCGTATCCGTCCCGCTTCACGCGTTGTCTTCTGGGCTTTGCAGGGCCCGGCGACCTGCGTGGACAACGTGACGGAGCACGGCCAAGCGGTCCGAGGTCAGGTGTGCCAGTCCCTGGTGGTTCCCTCGGACATCAGGAATGAGAACGTGGTGGCGTCGCAGCCCATCGTGATTGGCGACACTCTCGTTGGTATGCGCTCATGTGCTTTTGAGTGAAGTCGAAAGGGCGGGGGGGTGGGGGGGGGAACACACCGTCTTCACCTCACTTTCCAAAAATGCAGCATGAGGACGCTGCCGTGTATGTCGCTGCTTTACAGCTTGAAAAAAAGTACCGATTGCTACTTTCATTTTCGCCATTTCATGACATTTTTGACTCCCATTTTACACAGTAAACCGAACAACGCAACCAAAAATATGAACAATTGACGCCCCCTCTACAAATGCAATTCTAATAAATTAAACCGTACATATGTAGTGCTCTTCTGCACATTCCTACTTTGCTGATTTTGTTCTTCGAAACGATTCTTTTCTTTGTCACAGAATGACACAAAAGCAATACTTGGCTTTGTTCTGACACAAAAGCCCTGTCTGATATTCAAAGTACTGCTTTGTGTAATCTTAGTGCAAAAAAAAAAAAAAAAAAACTGCTGAAGTGAGTTGAGGAGCTTCACGTTGTGCTTTCCCGCCATGTTGTGGGGGGGGGGGGTTGGCCTGGGAGCATCTATAACGCCCAGATTTTCATTTCGTCATGAATTTCATATTGTTTCAAACTCACCCTACGACACTCCCCTTTGAAAATAAATGGGCTGCAGATGACTTGAAATGTGAGAAAAAAAAAACACATCTGAAGTCAACGTGTGGCAGAGAAGATAGATCCACACGTGGCAAAGACTTGACTTAATTTATGCTTATAGCCCAGGCTCAACTGAGCTCCTCCCTGGCGTGCAGCGGTCGTGTCGGTGTTTTCATTCACCCCATTTCATTTTCAAGCCGGGAATTCTCCTTCTCACGCTTGCTCTTTGTTGAAGGCGTCAGTACGGACACGGCCCTGGCGAACATCTCCTCTCCGCCGTGGCTCTTCCCCCCCACGTCTGGCCTACCGGATGTTATCTTCTATTACAAGTAAGTTCTAGGCGCCCCTTGAACACTGCGCATTGAAGTCACGTTGGTGAGCCCCGCTATACTGTTTACAAAAGTGTGAGGGTGTGTCCCCAGTTTTGTGAGGGAACGGGCACGCACTCGTAATCCTCCCGTGATTGATGGCGAAGCGTCCCCGGGACCCTTGAAATACGCCATACATCAAGTCATTCACGTTCTTTGCCGTGGCTACTGTAATGCCTCTGATCCAGTGTGGTGCTTGGTTTGTTCGGGGTGAAAATCAAAAAATCCGAAGTGACTTTGTCGTCTTTCTCAGGTCCACTGAGACAACGCAAGCGTGTAAAGGAGGCCGCTCAGCCACCATCAGGCTTAGATGCGAGCCGGCCATGAGCGCCGTTGACCACATCACGCTGCCCAGGTATCACTTGAAGTGGTCCAACTTTCACTCGTTCAAGCAGGGTTTGGTGGGTTTTTATGTAGAATTGGGTGATTCTACCATTTTGTAGTGGATAGCTCTACTTTAAAAATGGGCAAAAGGAGGGATGGAATCCTTTGAAGGCAGCTTTTTATTTTCCCCATGTCTGCACCTCCGAATGAATGAATGAAAACGCACCTTCTTCCCGGTCACACAAAACACTTCCTGGTTTCCTTAGCCAATCAGATAATATCAACATAAACTTGTTTAAGCAATGATTAAACGGAATATAACCTAGGTAATTGTAACACAAAAGAATATAATGCTCAAATATAAAATGAAAATAATAATACAACATAAGCTTACGTCCAGTTCATTCATTTGGCTTTATTGCTCAGGAGAAAAACAACTTTTTAAAGCAATGGGTTGTTTTTTTTTTTTTTGTGACTTACATAATTCAATGCCTTTCTCAGCTGATGAGCAGTGCTTTTATATTTCTATAAACCGTATATCGATATCGATATCGATATATATTGCTCTCAGTGTTTGCGGCAGAGCTTGGTCCCTATTGCCTGCAAATAGCGGTGGGGGTGAGCTTTCTGTAACGCCCTACAATGCCGGTAGATGGTGCCAAAGCCATGGCTAATTGTTGTCAACGGTTCGTGTCTAGAAAGAGCTAAGTTTAGCATGGCTTCCGCAAATGTTGAGCCAAGGCAACTAACTCTACTGCTCTTGTATTGAAGAGATTTCACCTCAAATCCAAAAAGCTTCTTCAGTTCTTAATTCGAGTTGTGGAGTCCCCTCTATTTTTGCCGCGGTGGGTGTGTTGCGGTGGTGCGGTGCGATCGGCATGCTAACCACAATGAACAACAACAACAACAACACGCTATTGTTAACCACACCCGGGGAAGACACGTGCCGCGGTATAAATAGAGGGACTCCACACCTAGAATTTAGAAGTGAAGAAGCCTTCAGGATTAAAGGTGGAATGTCTTCCAAAAACTAAAAATAAATAATAAATAGTTGCTTTGAAATCTACCTTTGCGCATGACCTGGACGACTGGGACTCTACTTTTAGCCTGGGCTGTGGACTCTTCGGCCCGATAAAATAATGAAATAAAATCATCTGTAAGCCATTTAGTTGACGTGTTAGGTAAATTGGTTGGAACAGATATTTAAGTGTCTAGTGTTTTGGGATCATAGCTTACGGTTGAAATATTTTCAGGGCGGCGTCAAGTTAGTCACGACAGGGTTTGGGCCCTATCGCCTGCCGAGAGCAGGTGTGTTTCTTTACTGCATTTCAAATACTATCTGTGGAAAAGTTGATACAGCCGTTTTTATCTGCAGCTCAAAGAAAAAAAATCTCATATGCTGCTTTATCGCTCAAAAGACGTTTTGTATTGCAGTTTGTAGGTGTATTTTTATTCTACTCATGTGTTGTTGTTTTAACAATCTGCTGTCGCGCTGAAATTTCTCCTCTGAAGAAGTATAAAAGGATGGTCTTATCTCAGTTGATGTTATCGTGTCTCAATGGTGGGGGAGAAAAAAACAACAAATAAAGCAAATTCCTGAAAGAAAAAAAAACTCAAAGCACAACCTGTTTGGAATAATGTTATTGTCATTTGCTTTTCCGCAAAGCAAATGGGGGGGGGGGGGTCTGAGTAAAATTTGGAAATCAGATGGTAAAAGGTTGGGAGACTTTGATTTGAAGGCCATGTAGCTCCGCCCTATTTTGACCAAATACTATCAACCTCCAACAAATCTCCCTGTTTGGTTTCTCTTCGACAGTAACTGTTCGGAGGGGACGTGCGATGGCTGCTCTTTCCACTTCCTTTGGCAGAGTCAGCATGCGTGTCCGCTGTGCACCAAACATAATTACAGAGAGATTGTCAGCGCTTGTGAACAAGGAATACAGGTAGGACAAAGGCCTGCCCGTTCATTTCTCAGGAATACAAACTGGGCCGTGGAATTTGAGATCGAAAAGCCCCTCCGGTGTCCGACCGATGGCCCAAATGTTTTTACAAACACGTCACGGCGACATTTCACGATCAATTGCATTTTGGGGCGTGGAACTCAAAAGTCAAGTAAGTCTCAACAGGCGAATTAAGCCCAACTTTCAAATACAAACCAAAACGGGTAGAGGCACATTTCAAGAATTTGGAAAAAAAAAAAAAGTGATTTAAAAGGGAAGTCAACTGAGACGTTTTCTCTGCAAATAATGTACAGTTGTGGAATATGAGTGAAGAAACAAGATCCCCTGCCCCCCATTTTTTTCCATCTCACGGGGGCGGCCATTTTGCCACTTGCTGTCGACTGAAAATGGCCTCACGCTTGCTCGCGCGGGGCTCAGGGGACGGCCAATCGCGCCTCGCCTTTTTTCTGAGTTTGGTCAAGTGATGTTTGCAAGCCGAGCAGTCAAATTGAAATCCCATGTCTCTAAATTTCATGGGAATGAACAAGCCTTCCCTCATGAGAACAAGCGCAACCGAAAATGGATGGAGGGTTGCCCTTCCTCATGAGAACAAGCGCAACCGAAAATGGATGGAGGCAATGCTGATGTGAGCTTCAGATACAAATAGTTGACCAAGTGTGCGTGTGTGTGCGTGTGCGTGTTATTTTGGTTCTGTGGTTTGTCAGAGGACGACGTACGTCTGGCAGCAGCCGTTGCGGTGTGCCGGAGGAGAGGCTCTCCCAGCCCAGACTGTCAGCGCTTGTGTGAGTCTGGATTTTTGGCTCAAGTTTGGTGTTTCCACGGGAACGGTGGCCGCCGCTCTGCTCGTCACCCTCATCTGTTACTTCTGGAAGAAGACGCGCAAGTGAGACAACTTGTTTTGACTTTGACATGGTATTGGTGGAGACTCTCAGGAGTACCTTAAGAGCATGTATTCACCTGTCGGGGTCCGCACAGCAAATAAAGCTACTCTCGGCCGAATTTGACCCAGATTCCGACAAATGGTAGTCTTCTATAGCAGGGGTCCCCCAACCAACAGTCCGTGGACCAATACCGGGCCGTGGCCCATTTGGTACCGGCCCCCTCGAATGTCAACCGTGTGATGAAGATGACCAATTAATACCAAAGTCGAATATATCTGGCCATTCAGGGATGAAACGCTGTTTGAGAACAGCCGTGCAAAAAGTACTGACACATGAACGTGTGCATTTCAAAGTTGACAGAAAGTCAAAGTCATTCTGTACATTTTAGGTTCCTTCTGAAATTTCACTCCGGAGTTTCTCAAGCGGTATTAAGGTGTGATTTGTGCTCCTTCTTCTTCTTCTTCCCCTCCAGATTGGAGTACAAGTACTCCAAGCTGATGATGAGCTCCGGGGGCAAAGAGTGCGAGCTGCCCGCCGCTGACAGCTGCGCCATCATGGAGGGAGAGGACGCCGAGGACGACCTCATCCATATCACTCACAAATCCTTCTTGACCAAAATGAAAGCATACTCGCGTGAGGTCAGTCAGTCAATCCCCCCGACATGTAGTCACTCGCATGCTGGGTGGGTGACGCCTTGCTTCAATCTTTCTCTTCTGATTCGATTAGAGGACATCCGACGGATTCGATTCGGTGCCCCTGAAGTCGTCATCTAGCCGCCTCCTGCACAAAGAGGAGGGCGATTCCGATGAGGCGTAAACGCAAAGGGTTGACGGAAGCACTTTTGGCGAATGCTTTTCTTACTGTCCATGGAGGGAGCGGCGTGTACTGCTGCGTCTTCAGGCTACAGGAAGCATCCGAGTTCATGCGAGACTGAAGCTTTCCAAAAGATATGTGTAGCCATCAAAATGTGAGCACCTGGAATGAAGCCTTGTTTGTCTCGAGGGCTGCAACGCTGGACAGTGACCCGTCCGTATGGAATGGAACAATATGAAAACAGCGGGAAAGGAATCAGAAATACAATTGATAGAACATTGAATATTGTACAATAATAATATAATTCCCATTACAGTTGGACTGGGAGTTGTGTAAGTTTGCTTTTTTGATTGTCTTTTTGTCCTTTGTAATTGGCTAAGCCGTTTTGTATTTGGCAACCTACATGTATGTCATGATGTATGATTTGACAATATGTCAAATGGATCGTATTTCGCTTTGAGGGCAAATGTTGCTCCTGATATTTTCATTTGAAACCTTCTTGTGCCTTCTACTTTCCCAATAAAATCCCATCAAAATGGTGGTATCTATTTTGTTGCGTACTGTATATAAGTCATTCTAGAATTCAAAGATATTTTCAGCAACCGTGACATTTCCAATAACTCGACACAAACTACATCCGCCCTTGAAGCCAAATGGCCAACTTTTACAATGCATTTTAGTGGAGTGGTGTGTGTGTGTTTTGTTGCGTTGGAATGGATCGATTGCATTCCCATTAATTTAAATGACAAAGGTTTAAGTGAGATCGGTGATTTGAATTTCAAGCACAGTCATGGAACCAATTCGAGTCGTAAATCAACTCACTGCGGTATCTCGGCATTGAAATGCGGTTTCTTCGATCTCCCGCAATCAGCGTGACAATTGAACGCAGCGCGAGTTTCGGTCACGTTCGGCCTGCGTTTGTTCTCGCGAGCTTTGGCGCCGCGTTGCAAGTGGGGCAGAGTTGCGACTGGAGGCGTCGAAAACAACGTGAACGTTTTAGGACTGTACGTGCAATCAAACGGGGATTTTGCAACATTTCGCAAGAGGACAAGGCGAACTTTCAAGTTGTCGCACGGTCAGGAGGAAATAAAGAAAGCCCGCTTAGAGTGTGGTTTCGTAAGTTTTGGGGAAGTTGAAGTCCGGCTGCAGACGGGACGAAAGTGAGTCGACTTGGTCAGTCCGGTGGTCGGCAGCAATGTCGCAGAAAGAGAGACCCAAGTTTTACCTGCAGGAAGTCAACAAAGCCATATGGGAAGTCCCGGAGCGCTATCAGAACTTGTCTCCGGTCGGCTCCGGCGCGTACGGATCCGTTTGGTAAACAACTTTATGCTGCTTTTAGTGTACTACCCAACTTTTGCTGCCCCCCCCCCCCACTCCCACTCCTCCGCCGCCCATTCATTTCGACGAGGCCTAAGTTCGCCGTGCTAAAGCTCGTTAGCACGTCTTCACAGATAGCATTAGTTATCAGAAAACTTTTACCTTCAATGAAACGCTGACCATGCTCGCGCACATATATATATCTATCTAGATAGATAGATATAGATATATATGCGCGCTCAAACAACTTGACGCAGTAAGAATTGTAACGTTGAACGTTGTTTTATTGCAATGATGACGTAGGTTGGCGTCACATAGCCTGACTCGCGGACGCTGTGATGCCCTGATTATAAAGTGCTCCGAATTTATTCAAATGCGCATTCTGCGGGCTGAAATAGCTTTAATACAGCGCAAGAATGATATTGTGGTCAGGTACAGGGTATTGACAAACAATGGACGGCTGGTTGCCTGCCAGTCAGTGCCAGGGCACGTACAGTCGCGAGAAAAACTCAATTGAACTGTATTTATAGAGCACTTTAAAACAACCACCGCTGTATACAAAGTGCTGTACATGGAGCATGTATACACCAATAAACAATCAAACAATTTAAAAAAAAAAAGGATGTGAACCATTTGGAATGACCTGGATTTCTGCATGAATTGGTCATAAAAAAGTGTTCTCATCTTCATCTAAGTCACTACAGAAGATAAACAGTCTGCTTGAACTAATACCACATAAACAATTACATGTTCCCATGTATTTTTATTGAACACACCCTGTAAACATTGTAACAACTAGTTGACCCACCTTTGGCAGGGGAAGAAACACACTTAAGCATGGAAAGGAGATGCAAACTCTGCACAAGATGGCCAGAGCTGAGCTTGACTGTGACCCAGATGTTACTAATCCACTGTGATGTTTTCAAAACCAAAAGAATTAATTGATCATTTTCTCCTCAATCAAAGGAAATGTAATTACTTGCCTCATTATTATGATTGCATTTATTAATCTCAGACTTCAATATTGTGCATTGTGGTTTCACACAATCTGGTCGGTTAGCTCGCGGAAGCGGTGACGTTTTTAGTGTGTAGACAGTGACCTGACGTTTCCTGCTGATCTTGCTCGGGGTTTTTTTTTTTTTTTCTCACCTGGTGTGCCTTCTGCAAATGATTGTCAAGGGCAGTGCGCTAATGTTTGTTTTCCGACAGTTCTGCTTACGACGTGAAGAGCGGCCTAAAATTGGCGGTAAAGAAGCTATCCAGACCCTTTCAGTCCATCATCCATGCCAAGCGCACCTACAGGGAGCTCCGCTTGTTGAAGCACATGAAGCATGAAAACGTGAGTCCGCTGCTTTGACTTTCCTCACCGTATATGTTGTAAGCCCGGGTGATGGATTGATTTCTGCGGAACTTTGAGCATGTGAACGTTGGAAGACAAAAAGCTTAAACCATATCGTACAATTTGAAAGGTTTTTTTCTAATATCCCTCAAAAAACTCATTTTGAATACAGCAATCCCTCCTCCAACGAGACAGTTATGTTTCAGACCACGCCCACCATAAGTGAAATCCATACTATAGATATTGGAGCTGCCAACTTTGTAGAATGCTTAAACTCGCACCGCTACTTGTTACTGATATTAAGCACAAAAAAAACTCACGAGTCACATTGCTCAAACGGGTTGAAAATGAGGACAAATATGTTGTTAGCCAAAAGCTAATGACTACAGGCTAACCTCATTCACCGCAAGCCTTAATAGATTCGTATCAGCGAGTAAGAACAAGGACAGCGACACAATGTGACGCTTCATTGCCAGATTATTACGTCCAGTAACGTGCAGACAGCAACTGTGTCTACTAATAAGAGTGTCGTTCATCAGAGAATCGCCTGACACTTTCAGGCACATTGTCATTATTGTTTCGACGCTTGCCGGAATACGCAAATCCGCAGTGGCTCTTTGAAGTAGAGCTAAAGGCGAGTACTTTTTTTTTTTTTTTTTTCTTTTAAGAGTCGTTTGGTAATGTTATGATCACATGGTGTTATTTTTCGTATGTGTTCCCATGAAATGACATCATAGAGCAACATGATCACACTTGTCCAAAACGTTTCTACCTCCTCCCAACCTTACTTCTCTGCCTATTGCCATGTCTCATTGATTGGAATTCTGGTGGGGGGTGCTCGCATGTCAACAGAGGGGCAAGCACCGAGAAAGTTGTCGATGGAGGAATAAGATGAGCCCCAAATACTTCCTGCACGTCGTGCCACATTCATGCATCTTCGCAGTCTTGCCTTTCATTGTGTTTGTATGAGCCGCAAAATGGGACTCTTGACACTGACATTTTTTTAATGCAAATCCACTGAATTTGAGCCTAATTTTGTGACCAAAACCTGAGATTTTATTTTGAGGCCATATCGACCAGCCTTACTTCCCTCCCTGTTTGCCTTGTGTTGTTGATTTGTTTGGACGCTTGTATTTGCAGGTGATTGGCCTCCTGGACGTTTTCAGCCCTGCCACTTCTCTGAAGGAATTCTCAGATGTGTAAGCTGTTCATTTTTTTCCCCCCCTCATAATTTACCAAGAGTACCTAAGTGTCTCAATGACACATCTCTGCCGTAATCAACCAACCAAGGATTCGAGCTTTGCATGAATTTGGCGGTGACTTGAATTGAGTTGTGAATTTGCCATTGAAAATGACTGAATTTTTTTTCATTCGAGTCAGAGCATAATGTCGTCAGAGAGGAACGTTGGTATGGCGCTCACGTCGCCGTGCGAGTGACGTATCAACGCGGGGAGCGCACGTGCGTGAATTACGTACGCACCGTTAAGCTAACGCCTCGTAGCAGTTGCGCGTGTATGGGAACGTTTGGCCGGCTAATGAGTAAGCAATCAGTCAGCGAAATGTAGCCTAAAAAGTGGATCAGCGCTTCACTGTTGGCCATTCGAGCAACAAACGAAAAGAAGCTTGCCAAAGCTGGATGCCGGACCTGAGGGCCAAACGGACGTATCGCTAGCTAAAACGAGGCGAGTACAACACAACGGGGATAGATTTCAAAAACGGAACCAAAGAGGACAAAACACATTCTGAGTTCTGCCGATGGCGACGGTATGGTGTCGGATCCTCTGAATTACAGTGCTGTTAGGGCGGGCTGCAGGGGGTGGGAGGGACTGTCCATCATAGCTTTTAGCTTAGCTAGCATCCTGCTGTTGCCCACCTCCTCCAGAGAGTCCAGGGAGCAGCCCGGTCTCTTTCTGTCCCGGTGTAGGCTACACCCGGATTGTTTTATCTACCTACTTAAACAAACATCTTTGTATTTTATAAAGACAATATCACATACACACTGTAGCTGTTTCTAAATACGTCACACCAGGAAGTGGCGACAGCGCCGACTTTGGGCCGAAGCGCCAGCCTCAAATTGTCCGGGAGGTCAAAAAAATTGTCTTAACTGGAGAAGAGACATTTGTCTGAACGGATGAAATCTAAAACCAATATGAAAAGGTGATGACCGCTACATGTAGTGCGATCGCAACCGGGTCCAGCAGAATGTAGGGCAGATTCACCCTTTAAAACCCTCCAGTTCTATACCATTGCAAGAAACATGCCGGAAAAATATGTCGATACAAAAAGGCATCCGTGTGTGCGTTGTCTCATGGCAACCATGTTGTGCCCTGCTTTGACATCTCCCTCCAAAATGAATTGAGCTCATAACCGACGGCAGCCAGCGTTAGCACTGATCGAAACCTTGATTTTTTTTTTTTTCTTTTTTAACGACGACAGACCGTCAAATTGGTAATTGGCCCTGCCCTCAAACTCATCTTTGCATTGCAGTCAAGAATAAATGACTTGATTTTTGAACATTAAATATCCACCCAGTAGAAGAAAAACCTAAACATGCGCCGAAGACTTGCCGTCATTTCCAATAACAACCCAGGCGAAACTTAGCTCCTCTGTCAAAGAAAAACAGCTTTCGATCACGATGTGTCACTCTGAACTACTTCCTTGACACCGATTCCTGCTTCCCTGTTCGCTTTAGTGCCGTTTTGTGGCATCATATGACATTACAGAAAGAGTATTTGACGACTTTTTAAGCAAATCGATGATGATAGGTCCCACAGATAAAAAGAAAAAAAAAATGCATATAGGGGGTAGTTCACCGGAAGTGTTGATCCTTCGGGCATTTTGAGCCACGCATGCCACCGAACATGTCTTTTAAGACACGCTTTCAGATCGAAAGCAATGAAATCGACGATGGCTCCTTTAAAAGATGGCCTGTGCAGTTAATCAAGGTCTTATGACTGCGGCCGCATGTTCTGCTAAGAGTTAAATGGGCATGCAGGAGTTGTCGGGTCTCTTCTGCAAGCGCTAAAAATAGCCTGCCTGGGGCGAGGCTTTTCACAGAATCCGCCATGAGAAGCTTTCTATAGGTGACGGGGAGCTCTCGAAATGTCCTTCATTTCCAGTCTGGCGCAGCCGAGTGTTGCGCCGCTCAATGAATTAATCGACTGTATGAATAGATCATGTTCAGGTCATATGAAACGATCTACCCGTTGTGTCTTTAACGCAGCATATTTGCATCAGGTGCTATATTACAATACAATACATGCTGATTTATTTTTTTGATTTATATAGCGCTTTCACCATCGTCATCCTTGACCCACTATATATTATTTATATATTTATTTAGTGATGGCTTTTTTTTTTTTTTTTTAAATTGCTATAATTTATATATTTGGAATATTTCACAGTATCTTCACCTGTAATGTAGCATCTCGACACATTTGATTTAGGACGTTGATTTATGGGGTACTTAATGATTAGTTTTGCATCATTTTGTCTATTTGTTGACATTCCTTTTGTGTGAGAAAGAGCAGCCTGCAAACCAGTTTGGGGCATTTTGTCCAAGCATTCATTCAATCTGTCTTTCATCGCCACAGGTACCTCGTAACTCATTTAATGGGCGCGGCCCTCAACAACATTGTGAAATGTCAAAAGCTGACAGACGACCACGTGCAGTTCCTCATATATCAGATCCTCAGAGGCTTGAAGGTGAGTTTCCCCTCGTTCGTTTTATAATCCTCGGCAGCGGTGAATTGAACTCGAGCGGCCCTGCGCATTAATGGACATCATCTCCGTTGTGTCTCCCCGCAGTACATCCACTCGGCGGACATCATTCACAGAGTGAGTGCAACGACTTTGCCCCAAATTCAGTCCGGGACGTTCTCCCGTCGCATGAGTGACTAATATTAAAGGACATAAATGGTAGCCTCGTACAACTAATCTTTTTTTTTTTTTTTCTTCTCAGGATCTGAAACCCAGCAACCTGGCCGTCAATGAGGATTGTGAGCTGAAGGTGCGTTATCGCGCAGCAATAATCTGAATGAAGCAAAAGGCAAATCCGTGTGTGTAATGAGCCCCCCCCCCCCCCCCCCCCCCCCCCCCCCGACTTGGCCTCACAGATTTTGGACTTCGGCTTGGCGCGGCACACCAACGACGAGATGACCGGCTACGTGGCCACGCGCTGGTACCGCGCCCCCGAGATCATGCTGAACTGGATGCATTACAACATGACCGGTAGGGACGCCATCAAACATCCACGTCGTAAAATACGGAATGACGATTTATCACGGCGCTGTATCGATACTCTAACAAATGTGACGTTGAGCGGCTAGCCTTTTTTTTTTTTATTTTTTTGAGTTAGGTCGAATAATTTTGAGAAATCTTAATTGCGATGTTTTTTTTTTCCACTTCTCAATATTGTGATTGCAACAAAATATGCACTTTTTTTTTTTTTTCCCAGGGTTTTCCCCCATGATTTTTTTGGGGGGGGGGGAATCTCCATGACACAAAAT